CTCTCAAACCAACGTTCCTCCCTATCAAGAATGAGAACATCCTCATCTCTGAAAGAGTTTCTGGACATTTATGGTTTGATTTCTTTGTATATATGGATCACTTGGGTTGTTACCGACATCTGGTGAAAATTTCATGTCATTAGCACCTCTAGTAATATATTTACTGAGAAAAATGGTGACGTTTTCAATACTTATTTTACCCGCTGTATGTGTAATCCACAACTCAGTGGTCCTGCCTGAACATGTAGATTTTCTGTTGAGCAAGATTTTATTACTCAAGTAAAGCAGCACACTATTATCACGTTTAAATGGTTCTTGGAATGGATGGATTACATGTAATGATGACAAAATGCAAACAAAATGATGCCTTAATTGTTGACAGTTTTGAAAAAAAAAAAAAAAAACCTCATTTCAATTCACACCATTACAGAAGCTGCTTCATAGATTTCTGTCTGACATAGCAGCATAACGACAGAGGTGCTGAGTCGTCCATCAAACGGATTATTGTGCCTAACTGAGGCTTTTTGACTCGTTTTATTTACAGCCAGAGACTCATTTTCACACAATGTTCTTGGCAACACAACCGCTCCCCTCTGGGAAGAAATAAAGCTTCGAATTTTATTGTTGCTGCACAGATGGAGACACTTTATTATAAGCTACTAAAATGTCTCTTAGTTATCACTTTAAATGAATTCAAGCGCTTTGAAAAGAAAAGGTTTTGATCAAAAGTAACTTTAAAAGAACACTGTGGCTTTTGATTTGAAAATAAGTAGAATTCTGTCTTTTTTCTGCTTGGTTTTGTTAGTTAAAAGGCTAATCTGGTCATTTTTGAAATGATGTCTGTGTGCTGAGCATTGACTGTATATCATGTTGGTGCTGATGTTGCTGAATATCAGCCTGCCTGGTCTAGTTCGTCTAAAGTTGACTCAAGGCAGACTGATACATAGCTTCATCAGATCATAGATGTTTCCTAGGGTTGGGTGATAATGTCAATGTCAATGTCAATTTTATTTGTATAGCACATAAAAACAACAGAAGTTGGCCAAAGTGCTTCACAATTAAGCCAAATGAATAAAACAATTGAGCAACACATAAATGTAGACAGTAAAATCAATTAAAAAAAACAGAAAAACATTAAAAACATTATCATTAAAATAATCTCAAACTCTACCAGGATGAAAGTCCAGGGAGTGAAAGTGAGTTTTATGTAGAGATTTAAAAGTCTCAACAGTCGCAGCAGTCCGTATGCTAAGAACAAAACAACATATATATCATGATACAAGTGATCAGTATCAATATGTTTGATAAAATGTTGATAAGTTAAACAAACAGATTCAGAACTACACAGCATTCTGGGGAATTTTAGCAGCTTTAGCCGTGCTACCTCTCACAGCGTAGCTAAGCTAAGGTTGTTTGGAATCGACTAAGCTAGCAACAACCTGTTGAGTAACATGCAGCAGTTTTATGTTTCGCCACCGTGCCTCGTAACTGCTTAAAGGGACAATATTATGTGTTTCTCAGACATATTTAAATTCTATACCATAAAGTATCAATGTCACCTTCAGTTGTTATTAAAATACTGTTTATATGTTTAAATAGAAAAAAAACTTGACCTCATTATATCCATTTCTAAATGTCTTGAAATTGGCCTCTGCCTCTTTAAGAACCTCCTTCCGCTTCTGTCCTGCCCATTTCAGCAGGGCCAGTTGGGTGTGTGTGCTCTCTGATTAGGAAGCTTGGCTTGGAGACACAGAGGAGGAGCTGATCCTAAAAGGTGGTTCTAGTCCCAACTGGTCGTTTTTGCTCCCCTGCCTGGCTGCCTAATGACAGCAGAGAATTTCTGAAACGTGTGAATGAGTCAAAGCAAGAATCTGGGCATGTTTTTGATGAAAGGATAACATTATAACATGATATAAAACTCAAAAAAGTTGATTTTACATGATATTGCCCCTTTAAAAGGAATAAAGAACGACGTGGAGTGAAAGAAGAAAATGATGCAACAGCTCGAGAGGAAATTGTGGATAAAAGAGGAAAGGTCACGTTGTCAGTTTGACAGGATTAATCAGCCTTTAATTTCTCCTGGTCCTTATTTCAAAAAAGTAAAACAAACAAAAAAATCTCAATAATTATCGATATTACAATAAAATGCTTTTGCCTTCTACCACACATCTGTGTTGGAACACGAACATGGTTCATTTAAGATAAAACAACAAACTAAACAAACAATGTCACGCTAATGCATAGAGGTTTATTTTGGCACCAGTATGGGCTTTTTTTTAAACATAAGCTTAAAAAAACCTATATAAGATGGTCCATTGACTCTGAAAGACTTGTGCCCTTTGTTCTACTGATGTCACGGCTGATACCAACAAGGATTAACTATGTGACAGAACATCACTTCCAAAAGGACCAGACTGTTCCTGTAAGGTTTTCAAGCTTTTGGGTGAGGAGTAATTGTATTAAATAATATTTTACTCTCACAGTGGGCATTGCCTTTGCTAAGAGGCCGTGTAAAAATGTTCCCCGTGCGGTTCGGAGTGTGTCGTAATGCTTCAGAGCCGGTGAAAGCCCTTGAAACCAGAGAGTGGCTTTTAATGAGAGTGAGCTTCGCAGCTAATGAAGCCATGACTTTATGCCTCAAGGTTCCCTCGCTCTCACGATGGGGGTCAGGACTAAGACAGAGGATGTGCGCGTCCAGATCTGCGGCGTCCGTCCGGACGTTAACAACTTCCGCTTCCCATCTGCCGCCGCCGGCATCACTCACCACGCTCTTGTAGTCATGGCGATGGCCAATGGGCAGGGGATGCGAGGAGTGCGTCTGGTAATGAATTTAAGCCCAGCAGATGGATGTCTAACTGGAGTTCATTTTTTTCCCCCTGATGGTTCACAACACAGAACCCCTGAGGGGGCTACATTACCACAAGTACACTGCAGCTGAAGGTTTCTAATTTTCACTGGCGTTTGCTTTAACTCATCGTGTTGCAAGGTTGTGGTGCTCTGTCTTCCACGGATACAAAGTAATAAACACCTGGAGATAACCGGAAGTGTCAAGGTGAGACGAGACAGTTCCAGGTGGAGAYACGTACCTTGTGTCCTCTAGTCCTCTGTTGACAGCTGGGTCGTTTCGTACCCAAGCATTCAGGGAGTGCATGAGTGATTCTTTTGATTGGTTGATATTATCCATGCTTAACTAGTGCTGTTGTGAGTCAAATCTTAGAAGTAGAAGATATCTTTGAAATTAAAAGCTGGAGAAACAATGGCTTTATCTTTATTACTACTGTGTCTGTGTGTTTATGTGTATTTTTATTTATTTTATATACACTGTATTGATCCCTGGTGGGGAGATTACAGTAGGTCTTTGCATTTTACCCATCRCACATGTGAACACGTGGAGCAGTGGGCTGCCAATTGGTGCCCAGGGAGCAGCTGAGGGGTTGAGGGTTTTGCTCAGGGGCCCAAGGTGGGGCTGTTGGTCCGAGGAGTTGAGCAGGTGACCTTCCGATCACAGACTCATCTCTGCGCCACCACTCTCCCCAGTTTGTGTCTGCTAGCAAAATCTCTCATGAACCTGAGGTGTTAAAAACCGGGTCATCTTGGTTCTGCAGAACTGCTGCCCTGAAGAGAGAAACTCTGAAACAGGCTGGTTGAACAGCAAGAATCTTTATTTTGCAGTCCAGGAAATTATAGCCAAAAACCAAATTGTGGCCTTCAAAGCCAAATGAATCACCAAATAAAAAGATGAAGGCGAAGGGTAGGGGCGTACAAGCCTCTTTATAGGTTTTCACAGTGTAGTCCAAAAGATGTACCATAAATTTCGTCATGGTGTACCTTAAACATCCCTTTCCCTAATATGGTAATGTGTCGAGCTCTGAAGCTGGAGACTAAGAGAGACATAACACATCTGTGCATTCCTGAGAAGAGGTCCCCACTCTTAGACACTACAAACCAATGAACAGACTTTAATGAAACCATCAGAAAGTAATCCTTGCATCGAAACACTGCGAAAATTAACCGTTCAAAATACATTAAAAATATTATAGTCTGAATCGTCTCAAATTGAGAACTCTTAAACAAGAACAAACTTCCAGGCTAACAAAATTTAACACATTCTTYTCTTAAYWTATTGGTCTYAAAACAAGATCAAAATAACTTTTTGGCTGCATTTAAGAGGATAAGATTTGGTTAGATGGACAAAAAAAGCCAAATTTACAGATATTGATCTAAGATTTGGTGAAGTAGCTGAGCATCGTCCCCAATACATATTCAAAGAACACAACACAGTTTTCCCAAACCTGTCTGTTAGCAAATTATTTCATGAACCATTGGGTGGATTTTAATGAAACTCTGAGTCAACTTTATTCAAAATTTATCAGACATAGCTAACACAATATGGCTATAACTTATGGATGTTAAGCTAATTGTTGTGGTTGAATCTGAAAGTCATTCTCAACACACCCTGCKAGTGACAAAAGCCTGGCAAGTTCTCAGAATATTACACGAGACCAATCATAATTTACATGGTTTGACAAAAACAGATATAACTAAAACTTAATTTAAAACTCTAGAATGAAAGGTCACACTTAAAGCAGACATTCTGGCTTATCTAATTTCTTAACATGAAATTATCTTAATTTTTAAAGTATCATGCACTTAAATCCTTCTTTTTCACATTTAAATCATTCAGTTGTGTCTGAATAAAGTGGAACTGTAAAGCTTTGGTCAGAATTCCTCCTTATTGTAACTCCACAAACCCATCTTTCACCCCTTTTCTGAGCTGTGTCTCGGATCAACTCGTTTTGAGACTGTCTCTTTAAATCCAAACGAGGTTCACACCCCTAGAAACAGAAAAATCTGACCCAAACAGAGTATAAATTTATCTACGCAACACCAAAGACTAATTTCACTTTCTGCACTCCTCCAAGTACACAACAAAATGTATTTAATGGATAAAAAGTGGATTTTGCATGACATGTCCCCTTTAATCTGATCTGCGTTTTGTTTAAAGTTGTGAAAGTTTTCTTTTGTCCACTGGGTTAAAAGCTGTAGCAGAAAAACAAGTTGTTACAACCTGAAGAATACACTGATAACATCTGCATTCCAGTGAAATTCATGTTTATTTTTTCTATCAACACTTTTTCTTCATGCGTGTATTTCTAATCTTAAAAATCAAGATTAACCTCATGATATACAGTAGGTTACTCTGGTTTATTTACATTCACATTGCATAATGCAACATTTGCATTGTCTGTTGTCTAAACGTTCCCTCCTCCTCTCATGTTCTGTAAAAAAATTGTTTTCTGTCACAGCTTGTCTCTCAAACCTTCCTGGACGTCGATGACAAAACACAAATATACTTTACATGCAGCAGGAGGAAAATAAATGTCGCGGTGATGGACGCTCAATGACAAAAAGTAAATAAGATTCTATATTGACCACCGTGGGAGATTCACAGCCCTAAACCTGCTCATCTGTCACCAGTCTGCTGGGTATCATTGTCATTTACTCATTCATGACTGATTTTATCATTCCACTGACCATTTAGGCGCCGCTCTCTCTCAGATGAATCAAAACTGCCCTGCCAAGAAGTGAAGGGCCTTTTTTTTTTCAAAGAACATGTTTCAAAAATGAAACAGATTTTAATAGAAGCCCTGTTGCAAAAGAAGGTCATGCCCTGCATTCAATCTGAAACTAATACAAAGAGGTGTGTGGGAAAATGTGTTTACTTTGAATTTTATGCACACCTCAAAATAATTGGAGTAAACAAAACAATAAATATAAATATATATAAACATCTGAAAACGTGTGCAACAAGGTGATGTGGCTCACAGATATTTATTATAATTGAAGCAGGTTGGTGACATTTCTGGATTAATTTAAGCATCTTAAAAAGTCTAAACGTGTCTCTTCTCCCTTCCTGTCTGTGACCCGGATCCTGATCTGGGCACATTTTGAAGAATGTCCTAATTTCTAAAATGCACCTGGAGGAAGGTGCAGAGGAGCTATTACCAAGGATGCATGAAAATCTTAACTGCATCCCTGATGTAAGGTGCTAAAATAAATCTTTTTATGCAGAGAACAAGGCTGAAAAGCTATAAACATCATCAATAATGCCTCATAAGTTGTATGGACTCAGGATTTCCTCTAAATTATCTTCAGTGAACCCAGTTTGTTTGTGCATCAAGAAATGTTAACGGGAACTTTATTATTCAAGAAAAAGAAGCACACTATCCAAAACCATGCTGTTGACTTTAGAGCTGAGAACTGTCCAACCAAAGGGTCTGATAACTCCATGTTTTAAGTTCTTTTTTCTTTTCTTTTGTGAACTTGAACCATTTACAAATTAAAGTATAGAGGGTTTATGTGTACGTTCAACATATTTCATCCATTTATACTGCATATTTTCAGCTTTTACACACACACACACACACACACACACACACACACACACACACACACACACACACACACAC